TAAATTATATACTCCAATAGGAAAAAAGTTTAAAGTAAGATTTCGCTCTAAAAATAGTAATAACAAACCCAAAGAAGCATATGTCATGTGTCAGTATTATGATTAGATTAGTATTTAACAGAATCAATAAATAATAAGATAATAGATAATTTACATATTATATTTAATTTTTTTGCGTACTTTTTTAGGGATGTGTTTTGTATTTTCTTGTGACGCACTTATTGCAATTTTACATAAACTGAGATCCTGATATTCAAGTGGAGTATATTTTATTTGATTTTCGTCAAAAGTTACAGCCCTGAAGCATAAAATATATGTTCTATGCTTTAATGGGACGTGTTTTAATTTATACCCTATGCTAACTGATTTAGGTTATGCATTATATGGGATTTTTACATATTCCGATAATTCAAGCAATGCTTCATGATCTCTTTTTGCTATACAATTTATTGCTTTATTCGTAAAAAGTTCTTCTTTTATATATTTAAAACATATAATTTTTTTTATACAATATGTGATCTATTATTTTTTTTAGTCCTATATAAGATGTTATTTTTTTTACATGCTTTGGATTATAATCAATGAGAGCAAAACACAAATATTTATCTTTAATAAGTTCATAATACTTATCAAATAATTTTATGTTTTTTTTTAAAACATATAAAATATCATCTGATATAATATTTTTTGGTATTAAGCAAATTTTGTTGTTTTAGTTGAAGTTTACATGGAAACATAATTAACTTGAATGTTCTGCGGAAAGAATATTTGCAAACACTAAAAACCTGCCAACTTTACGAACAAACTAACTCTATTGGTTCAAAAAATATGCTGACTAAGCAATATAAAGTTCTAGAGTATTCTGTTGAAATGTTTTAGCAATTGTATTAATCACGATTTGTTGCGTTTTGAGATATCTAGCATAAATTGTTTTAAGAATATATTATCAAATGAACTATTGCTTTAATATTATGGCTCATTCTCGGAGCCACATCTGCAAAGCCGTAAATCTTTTAAACTATTAGCATTTGTTTACAAAAATAAATGTTTTATAATATATATTTTTTAAATTGTCAAAATTTTGATAGTTATTTACAAATTATATATTTTCCTAGTGCCTGATTTAAATAATTGTTCGTTAGATTTGTCAAAACAACTTGCATCAAAATGTAAAGAACACACTCGTGAATCATCAGAGATATTATATAACCCGATTTGGCGCCATAGGGGTCCCTAGGTCCACCATCGTTATGGCCCATGTAGCCACGGCTCTGATAGCTACAAAAAAACAAAATATTTTTTAATGTAAAGATTTTAGAAAATAAAATATCTAACTATAGTTAGCTATTTTAGTACAATTTAATAGTAAATTTTTTAAAGAATTTCTAGAATGTTTCCAATAACGTCATGTACTAAAATTCCTATGAATTAAACACACTTGAATAAATTAAGTCTGTATAATGCGCCTGGAAAATCACATTTATTTTAAAAACTCCAAATACCGCAGAAAATGAGGACAAGCTTCGAATAAAACAACAAGTTTTGTTTTTATTGGTATACATTTATTAATTAGTTTTAATCAAAAATAATTTGCTCAGATGATTTTTTTTAACATTCTCTTTAATATGAACACAACATGTCTCAGGACTGGGTGGTCCCTTTAAGGAAAAGTTTGTAGAAAATAGTTCATATCTCAAAAATATTTCTACTTAAAAAGCAATTTAAATAATATAGGCTTTCGGTTACTTATATTGTTACTGTACTTTACAAAAAAAATATT